CTTTTCTGCTTCTTTCTAATCCACTCCTTCTATCTTTTTCATTCCCTCCTTCCACTAGTCTCCCTTCTTCTTCTTCTTCTTCTTCTTCTTCTTCTTCTTCTTCTTCTTCTTCTTCTTCTTCTTCTTCTTCTTCTTCTTCTTCTTCTTCTTCTTCTTCTTCTTCTATGTCATCCCCTCCATCTCTCCTATCAACTGTTCCTCTCCCATCTTCTTCTCTCCATTCCTCTCCTTGTCTGCTAATTTCTCTTTTTCTTCCTTGTCCTCCTCCACCCCCCCCTCACACACACACACTCTGTCCTCCGTGACCTCTCTTCAGGTGTGTGTGTGTGTGTGTGTGTGTGTGTGTGTGTGTGTGTTTTCTTCCTGTTGTTTTTGTCGTCATGGCAGCTACAGGAAGTCTCCTCCATTCAGTCATGAAGGTCATACTGTAAGCCTTACTCTGATATAAGTTTCACTACTAATGTGATAGTGAAATTAACTTGAACATGAAAGCTGCTTTCTTGTCTTTGGGATGCCTTAGTTTGATCTTGTGACGTCAAGTACATTTACTTTAATCCTCCTTCACTTAAACCAATACAACTCTTTATTTTTTCTTACCAGAAGGCAAATATATGAAGTATATTTCCTTTGGATTCTTGGGTAAGTCCTATTGCTAATTGCTATGCTAACTGATCAATCTGTAACCAAAGCCATGAAAGCTAAATGCTGCATTCAGCTGCAGGTTTGTTGTTAACTCTCTTAAACGTTCACGTTATATTTAGGTCATTTGATGCAGTTGTGAACATTAAATATAGCTGTAAAAGAAAATAACACAGACAGTGTGATTTGTATTGATCAAACTTCTCGATCTAACATAACGTCTGCTGTGTTTGTGTTGCAGAAGAAGAGGAAGCAGGCCTGCAGAGATGCAGACTCCCTCAGCCTCTGCAGTCTGGACATCAATGTGAGTTCAGCTTATCTAAACTAACTTTCTGTTTTGGCTCAGCCTTGGTCTAAAAAGGTTTCATATCAAAGCTCTCAACAAGTGGTGAAACGTGGCACATAGTGTTGGTGTCCTTAAGAGATGTTCATTTTTGGAATTGTAACTAAATATGTTATATTTGGATAAATGAATTAAAATGCAGGTACATTATATAAAACAGTATACAGTATTCCATCGTATTAATGCAAAGTATTGTTTTTGAGAAAGAGCAAAAAAAACGTTATAGGAAAAAAAATGTATTCTCTTTATAGAGTTGACCAAGTTATGTACAATTGTACCAAGTACATACAAAAACACCCAGGAAAAGTATTTTCAATATGTTACAAAGAATATGTATATCCTACTAGAATACGTATAGCCTGTTGAGAAGAAAAGAAGAGAAAGCACTCAATATGTTGAAATCACATGACATTTAATACATGCAATATTAGTTACACCGATAGATTTGTATTCCAATGACCAGTGAAAATGAGTAAACGGACGGTGTCCATATTTTCTTCCAAATGTAATTCTTTCAACTACCTTACACAAACAGCTGGTTTTTAGTCTTTCTAAGTAGGGGCTAATAGTGAGCTGTGTAGAAATGTGTAGATCATGCAGTAACTTCGTGCTTTCTTATCTCCATCTCTGACCGTGGGTTATTGTATAGTGGACCCTCGGAGGGCCTCAAACCAGTGTTGGGCCCCTCCTACTAAAGTTGTCCGTATTTTTAGCCCTCTGCCAGCAGCCGTCTCTTTCTGGGTGTTCCCCTCCCTGCTTAGTCCAACACAGGATGTCCCCCCTGTTCGATGTACACCTCAGAATGACAAACACCATCAGTCTTAATCTGTTCCAAGCCAACAGTAAGAACCTTGAACAATTTACACTCTATTGTTTCTCTACCGTTACTCCCAGTGAGTCACACACAGTCATATTGTGCTCTTACTGAAACTGCACGAGCTGGAGACATGGATCCAAAAATATGTACGTATTTGTACAAATAATTTCACATTCATTTATACATCAATTTAGAGGACACAACTCAACTTGAGTTCACTTTTTAAAGACACACATGTACTCTTTTCAGTATTCATAATTGTTTCCAGAGAAGCACTATCTTTCTGGAAATACTTGGCGCTAATTTCTCTAACAGATATTTTGAATTTAAATAGTTGTGTATAGTTTAAACTCCTCAATTCAAACCAAAAATAAATATTCATCCATATTAATGAATGTATCTACTTTTATGATGTCTATTCATATTCTGTTTTCTACATTGTCAAATATGTAGATTAAATTCAATGTTTATAATTCAGGTTAATTTTCACATTTCAGACAATATCAACTAAACATTATGTCAGGCCGTTTTATACTGGAAATATTGTACTTTTGACTTTGCTACATAATAACTTGGTTAGTCTCAAAGTTAAGATACCTGCCTGCTAAAAAAAACAATATGATGTTTTGTTATACATTTCAGCAGTTTAAAGAAATAAAAATAAAATGATGATTCCTTGAGTTGATAGTCAGAAAGTACATTCATACACATGCCAGATGAACACTTATCGATTGTGTTTCGTAAACTAAGGGGAATGAACTGTTGGGGCCAATACAGTCTCCAGAATAAAACCAGGTGATCTCATTTTATTGGAGAGTCTCAAGTCAATGTTATATAGTGTTTTCAGGAAGAGCATTTCAACCTTTTGAAAAAAGTAATACTTGTTTTAAAATGTCAAGTGGTTATAGTACATAATATACTTAACACATTTGAAGAAAAAATCATAAATGATCCCATAATTACAAGATATCCATTCATATAAAATATTAACATAATTAAAGCTAGAGTATGTAATTTATTTCAGAAACACTTTTTGTTATATTCCATGGAATGCTCTTAACATCCCGATAGCAATGAATATCTTAAGTGCTTTGACAATAAATACATAAAAAAATGTCATCTGTGGAAGCCGTAGTACTGTAAAAAGCACAACCAATCATTTTAGCCGGCCCGGCTAAAATAACTGGATGGCCTACCTGCCTGTCAGCCTTCCATCTATGCACAAACTTATCTCGTGCCCCCATTGGTCATGTGCGCCCTCGTGTGTGTTGGAGGAGGGGCTCTGTAAGGAAGTCTGAAGGAAGAGGCAGATTTGTTCCGGTTGTGTATTTTCAAATTCTAGCGCACTCTGGCTGGTTTCTCCAAAATTACCTACCCCAACTTTAAATGATAACTCCCAATTGTGACATAAAAGTTAATAATGAACAAAAACGTTTATAAATGCTTCTTTAGTAGATTCAACCTTTACAAGAATAGGGAAATCAAAACCTGTCAGGAAAAAGTTTACTGAGGTGATAAATCAAGTGAGAAGTCCGGTCATTTTCTCATCGCCTTCTATACAACCAGACTCCTTTTTGCCATCAATGAAGTCGCCCTCTGCTGGAAATGAGAGAGAATGTATGTTAATGGCACTGCATTGGTCAAATTGCGGCTTGTTAAATACTTGTTATGTGAGGAGTGTCTTGTCTTTAAGTTTAAAGAAAATCTTGATATTGTGATCAAATTATTACACAACTGGTCATATCAAAGAGATATTTTTCATCTAAATAAGTCTTGTTAAAGTACTCTTGTACAACCGATGTGTCACAGTTTAGATGAAACTAGGCGGGTTTGTCTGAGTCAGTTGTGACGATTGAATCTGCTGTAGGATCAGTTTATGACTCCTGTTCCTTTCTGGGCGTCCAAGACCTAACTGTCGTATTCCCAGACAATGGAGAGCTGCGTCAGAGGGGCGCTTTTGTTAGCTGAACATGAGGTGGGTTTCACGTCAGGTCAGAGGTCAGTGATCACAGTCACAGCTTTCAAAGGAAACCATGGAAAGATTTCTATAGAACATACACAAAGATCAATGTGGTTCATGACCTACAGCTGATCCAGGATGTGTTTATACGTCTCTATTTTGGATAAAGCTATATGTCTGCTTACTGTATGCACACTTATCTCGTTTTAGTCACATGACATTGATGTGCAATTATTCCTTTGAGACAACATCTATTGTTAACCATCATTTTGTCTTTAAAATGTCAGAAAATAGAGGAAAAATTCCCAATACCTTTGTTCAGGTTGAGGTCCTCATAATGTCTTGTGTTTTCCGACCAAGAGTCCAAAACGCCAAGATATTCAGTATTCCTCCATTTGAGAAGCTAGAATAAGGACATTTTGTTTTTTCATTCCAAAAAGCCTGGTCTGAATCAAACCAATGATAATCAGATCTGTGTCCGCCATATAACCACTACACATAAAAACCTTTTCCAATGTAGGCCGGCTCTATTTGAACCAAACCTGAACCAACAACCACATCTTAATTCTCAAAGTGAAACAGATGTGTGTGTTAACAATATATACACCAACACGGACAGTCATTGATTTGAGAACTGCTGTAAAACGAGGGCAGAGCTTTAGCTGCCTGCAGGCGTCTTTCTCTCTTTAGTCATTACAATTCAGATTGACATTGACTGAGGCCTAGTTGCACTGAGTTGAATGTTGGATATAGAACCTTTACAGGTTTAAATGGCACTCCGGAGATTAACAATGCAGCATCATTTTGCAATAAAAATGTTTTTTGCTCTGATGTTTTTTATTGTCAACAAACCTCCCAAATCGATGTGTTGGTTTGTCTCTTAATTCTCTACCACATCGTGTGTGGTTCTCAGCTCCAAACCCATTTGTTAAATATTTAAAAACTGAAAAACACCAAATGTATTTCTAGAAAAACTATCAGTTATATCTTAAAACAGCTGGTCACTGTTATTTTAAGCAAACATTAATCAGACAGAAGGAAATACTGCATTATTTTCAGCAGTGGAATAATCCACATTTGGTGATCTAATGATTATTTAGGGCAGCGGGACAGTGTATGTGGGATTGAGTCCAAATAAACCAAAGTGTGTGACTTCATGTTGATGAATTAACATGTCAGTCAGTGCTACAGCGTGGCTCATTGGTGTGTTGTTAATAGTGTTTATAAGGGACAATGGAGCACTATGGCACAGAGGAAAAAGATATATCAGGCTTTGTTACAAAGACAATACTTGTTGAGGACTTTTTATGGGATTTGCTGACATGAAGACACATTGTACAATGTCTTAATTGTATCTGTATTGTTTGTAAGTAAAGGCTGAGTGTTTAAATGGAAAAGGTAGAAGCTATTGCAAATGATGGAAAGGAAGGAAGTAAGAAAAGTGAGTGGTTGAGGGCGCCAGTGAGTCAGGCAGGGTGAGAGCATTGATTTGCAAAGAGACAGAGAGTCAGAGTGAACAACCATCATAGAGAGAACGCTTTAACAGCTGAAGAGAAGTCCAACAGAAACATGGGATAAGAGCTCCAGGTGGTCCACAAGATACCTTTAGTAGAATCCTTCTCAGCACTGCTGGTACCGAGCTGGATCCAGACTCTCTGCTACCGTCAGTCCTCTGGATACTACCAGGAACATGCTCGTACAGAATCAGATCCTGTGCTGCTCTTTGTGGTGAGCAGTATGGTGTTGGGGCAGGGTCCCCTCTGCCTGCTGGTACACCGGTTTAAATGTGGATACCCTGTGGAGTTTGGCAAGGGGAAAAAGGTGGAGGTAAGATGCAGGAAATATCCTATAAAACAACAGCCTGTTTACAATCAAATATTGCTTGTGAATGAATCTAAATCTCAGAACTATCTGAATTATGTAGCTATACTTGTGTTTTTAAACAATTCATATCATCTCAAGTATATGTAGTTCTATTTAGGTTGTACTCAATAAATGTTATGCTATACTATCGTTAGATTAAACTATAGTTTTTGGAGTCAGCAGATTTGAGAAAATGTTTAACTTTTTGACTTTTGTGGTTCCCGCTATTTCCTTAAATATAAATATGTATTGCTTTTACACTTAAGGGTAATGATACTGTACTGTAATGATGAGTTATTCTCAGAGATGATGGACAATGTT